TATAATGCTAGCAGCATATGTGAGGCTGCTTGTAGGGTATTGGGAAGGAGGCCAGGAGTGTTCTTTATGTTGGTCCATCAGACATGTTCATGGCGTTCTCTGTGCGAGGATAAACATCCCCGCTAATGTGTCATGTCGGCGTTCAAAGTCGGCAAACTCGCCGTCAGCTGCTGACGCCCACACGAACAGAAAGAATCATATGTCGCAGAGACCGGCAGCAGCACGGAAGCACCGAGCACTCAAAAGTCTCATGCTACTCACAGCTGAGCTCACATCCCAGCTCCATATTAGAGGCATTGTCATGCATGTATGCAAACCCAGCCGCACACGCACACACACACACACACAGAAACGTAATTGGTCTTCACGAGCTAATATAATAAAGACTGAAGGATTGAAAGCGTCCCTTAGCTCCGTCTCTCTCTCTGCCTCACCCCTCTCGTCCACACCCCTCCCGCCTGCGTTTTTTTTCAATGTAGCCTTGAGCGGAGGCTTCATCCACAGGGATGGGCAGCCTGATGAGGCGGTGAGGGTGGGTTGAAAGGGGACGGGGCAGTGGAAGACTGCCACACTGAGGCCCGGCGTGGGCTAATGGTTCAGCACAAGGCACTCCACTTATCAGATCGGTGGCTGGAGTGGAAGTCAGGATTAGGATTAGGACTCTCGATAAATCTGACAACACTTTGCTTTTTTGGGCACAACCAAATGCATTAACACTCGTGCATGTTTTTAAATAGGTTTCGATATTATTAAAAAAGACCACCGATCCTCAATCCCCCTCTGGGCAGACAGTAGCACAACGCGACTGCTCTTGCGAGAAGCTCCCAACTTGTCTCTCTCCCCCCTTTCTCTTTCACTTTCTTTCCCCCTCGCCTTTACCACTGTCCCTCGGTGCCCTAGTTTACTCCACTGCACACAGCTCCTCTTCCACCCCCCCCCCCCCCCCACCCCCCCCCTCCTTTCGACCCATCCTCACCTTCCCCCAACTCTGTTTGTTTGCTGTTATTTCTGCTTTTCAACTGTGTTTCCACTGTACTGTATATACGTGTACTCATTTACTCTAAACCTTTGGAGTGAATTCAACAGTGCATTTATTTTCTTTTTGTTTTTTCTCCTCTTAGTCTCGTCTGACCAGCCAGACGGAGGCCCTGGCGCTGCAGTCCATCAGAAACATCCGCGGGAACGCTCACTGTGTGGACTGTGAAGCTCAGAGTCAGTGAAAGCTTCGTCCTCCCTAAAAATCAGAAGAAATGACCAAATGTTAGCGTGGTTGGCCAGAATATTGTTAGAAATGAATGAAGCAAATCAATGAGAAAGTCTACCACACGTTTCCCAACAGTGGCAAGATGTTAGTCACTGATGCACAATTCACATAACTGACAAACACAATGAAGGGCATTCTGAAAAAGACATAAATGTTAGCCAACAGTTGGCTTCAGTTGGAGAATGTTAAAGATTAAGAGTTAGCATAATAATAATAATAATCAGCTCAGTTAGGGCTGGTCTGCTGATAGTGAAATGTTTAACCATAATAAACTCCAGGTGAAATTCAATGTTGACTTATGTCCAATTAAAACCTTAGCTACATATTGTTTTCAGACTGATTGTTTATATTTGTCATCCTTGCTGCTACAGACCCTGACTGGGCCAGTCTCAACCTTGGTGCCCTCATCTGCATCGAGTGTTCGGGGATCCACAGAAACTTGGGAACTCACCTGACTCCTCCATCCAGTCCCAAACCACTGCCCCCATCCACTGTCCCAAGAAAGCCTTGTATTTTTTCAGCACTTCATTCAGTCACTGTGAAGCATTTTATCCCCATGTTAAAACATATAAGATAGAGCCGGGGTTCGGGTTATGAACAAGATGTGACAACGTCAGTCAAGTTAAGACACAATTAGAATATCAATTAACAACCGAATACTCGCCCATACAACGAGTGACCCCGGGTTGCACAGCAATTTATTTGCTATCACGTCTCTTGCTGATGCCCTGACGTGGTCCTTGATGAAGGAGGTCAGTCTGTCACATAAACACGCCCTCATTAGGCAGGTCGGGGGGAGTCTGACAGGCCGGGGCCGAGATGGCGTTGTCTGCTGCCATGCTAACAGAGACCCCCGGGGGCAAAGCTTCAAATGTCTAAACAAAACTGATAGAATCAGAATGTGATGATGACGTGTTACCCACTAGGAAGGAGATGAATGATCCCACAGAGTGGTCGGAGGGCTAATATCCCACTGAAGGCAGACGTGGACATTAATAAATGAATAGAACAGACATCCATGAAATAACAATCACATCAAGATGCCCTGAGACAAATTCCTTCCTTATGCATGCACTGACGTGGCTTTCCATTCACAAGATTATAACTTATCCATTAGTGGATGGTATAGAACTATGCACCAGGCGGCCTGTAGTCCTCGAGGCAGTGCAGTGTGAATCCAGAGAGGCAGGAACGAGGGTTGTGCAATACAATCGCTGCAGGCTTCAGGCAGCCAATTTTCTTTGCACCGCGCTCTTACACACTTTCAGTCATTCTTGCACTCAAAGTATTTATCTCTGGCTCTCTCTCTCCCTGAATCCTCCCTCTCCATATTAGACCAGCTTCTTCTCCCCAGGCTCTGATGTTAATGCACTACCAATCAGAATGTCTATTAAGAAGACATGCACTACACGTTCATCAGGCCATCCAAAGGCCTGCATGCAAATAAGCTCAAATTGCAATGTGCTGCAAACTCCTTGAAATCTCCTTAGACGACTGGGGGGGGGGGGGGGGGGGGGGGTGGTGGAGTGGGTGAAAGATGTAGGAAGGAGTAAGAGGCTGTCCGTCCGTGTGATGTAAATGAAAACCCCAGCGAAAACCACTGTAGCGGATAAAGCTGATCAAAATGGCTTTTTGAAATAGTGCTAAGGTGAGGCGAGAACCTAGACCTGTCGTAAGTGACAGCTGTCCTGTCCTTTTGTAATGGGATCCAAACAAGTTAAAACCTTGTTAAAAAATACAATAAAAGTATTCAAAAATCCTGAACAAACCCTAAATTAAAGAAACCAGAAAAATAGGTAATGTTTAAACAGATATTATTTTTTTTGCAAATATTGTTTTTTAATTTGATGCCTGCAACACTCCCAAAAGCTACAGGAAAAACAATAATAAACTGAACCAAAGTGGCCCACAACAGATTTCTAACTTTCCACTTGTAACTTTGACTCGCAGGTGTATTTTTATTTTTTTTTATTTTGCTCCAACGTCAACTAGTTATTTGCAAAACAAAAGTTTGAGAGTTTATCCAGTGTGAGTTCTTCACTCCCAACCACAAATCGTTTAAAGTAGTAGTTTAGTTTGTAGAAATTGTTTCTGAATAAGCAGTGGATGTTCTTGGGTTGGTTCGACAGCTGTCAAAGTTTCAAACAGAAAAACGTCTGAGGTTTCCACGCGGAGTCGAGCAGTAAGGACAAAGCTCGACATTTAGGGAGCCGTGCCGCTCCGAGCGGCTGCTGCTTTCAATTCAGGAGGCACAGAGCCTGCTGTTAAATGCACGGTGGAAGAGGCTGTGTCACTGTGACCTGCCACATGCCAACTCTTAAGTGGCAGTGGCACCCGAAGATAATGAAGAACGATGACGGGGCCAAGGAGGGCATGCTGAGGGCCGACGTGCACGGCTCAAATCGCAGCGCGGCCACCTACTGGGCCTTAACACGGGCGTGGACGACGTTCAGCCACTGTGCTGCTTTAATGTAAAAAGCTGCCCTTGAAATCTTCTCTATTGTTTACCAATGCAGTGCATTTCTCTGTGTACCCTCTGGGGGTGTCAGTTGTTATGCAGAGTGTGGATCCACATGTGAGCACTTCTAAATTCAACAACAACAGGACTCAATAACAATGTTTAAAAAAACACCAAAGCAGAAGATTAAAAATAATATGCCACATAACTAAGTCACAGAAATATGACCATATGATAACATCCTGCGCTAACGATTATGATTTAACCATCTGCTAAAACAGGGGCGTCCATGTTTTTTTTTACTTGGGAGCTTCTATTCAAATGACCCAGCTATAGTGGTCACATGGTTTCAATGTTAAATATATCAAGTCATATACATTGAACGCACTTACTCTGTTTACATTATGGTTACAATATGATTTAATTCTTACAGTATATGGTCACTACTAAGATAAATGACATGTAAAAGTCATGCATAAAGGCTAAAATGCTTTTAAACCTTTTCTATCGGGGAGACGTGGGTATTGCAGGTAAAAGGCAGAAGTATAATGATAATATAAATACATGTAATTTGGAAAGATCTGGTGGCCAGATTAAAGAGCTAGAATCTGGCCCCCGGGCCTTAGTTTGCCCATGCCTGCACTATAGGAATATATTCATATTTAGATTTTTCTTGTTTTTATTGCTTAATGATTTACCAACACTCCCTTAGTAGATCACGGTCTTCATATTGGGCAGCCCTGTAATAAACATAGTTGAACTTTAAATCAACTATTTTTGTTTTTGTTAAGTGTTACATTCTGCACTGAGTATTTTCTGCTCTCGACTCAACGCAGTTGATTTCAATCTGAACAAGTCTCCATCACCGACTTCATCCTTCAAACACAAAAGAAAAAAAAAACCACTCAAATCCAAAGACACAGTATGTCCAAATTCCATGCAGCACATGTACTGCATGGAATTTGGACATACTGTGTCTTTGGATTTGAGTGTTTTTTTTTCTTTTTATATGGGCTTATGAATAAAGTATGTGCAACCTATTAAAAATAATCTGCTTCAAACGTGCTGGAGGCCATTGAGGTCAATAACACACATCTCACCGAGTTCAAGGAGAGAGGAGAGACGCTGGTTAGCGAAGGCAACAGAGAGTGAATTCAAATGTCTTTATGATGCCACGTTGGGCGGAATTAAAGAAAAGAAAATGAAGGCAGCTGAAGCTCGAGGCTGCAGGAGGGGGCTTGTTTAGGAATTCCTGCTGGATCTACTTGTTGTTCTTACCTGAACATCTCTCCCAGGCCTTTCAGCACGCCCTTCTTGGCTTTTATCTTTTCCTTGTCTTTCTCCTCTTTATCTCTCTCCGGTTTCTTCTTTTCTTTCCCTCCAATCTTCTCCCAATCTCTGACTCGGTCGTCTTTGGAGAGGTTGCCGTTCAGCCCCGTGCCCACAATGAGGTCACCGCTGGTGGACATTGACTCACGACCTGAGCGGGAACTTCCCTCTGTGTCCTCGTCCACTGGAGGGAAGAGATAAGGAGCGTTTGTTAAAGACAGCCCAAAAAGTGAAAGGGGAAAGCACCGGCGCGAGTGTCGAAGTGAGGGATAGAAAAAGAGAAATGTAACTCAATAAAGTGGGAGTAAAGCTGCTGTTTGACTGTGCATAGATTAAAAAAAACAAACAAAAACAACAAAAAACACAAAGACTTTTAAAGACTTAGAAAGAATTACTTCTTTTACTGTGAAATATCACACAGTCCATTAAAAGCACAAGGTTTCACAGCTTTTAACAATAGCAGAATAATCTTTCCATTTGATTAGAGTAGAATCTACATTTACACCAATTTACATTCTACACCTGTAGAGACAAGTATTCAGCTGAACACATTTTCACTAAGCCGAGGTATTTTAAGCATGTACTTCAGCACAGGTGTTGCCATACCACACCTTATATGAAAAGAATCTTCTCCTTTCCTGTTTCTTTGCATTAATCCCGAACACAGCACGATTAAGTAATTTAAGTAAAATCTAGAATATTAAATTATATATTTTTTTAAATTGTGAATGCATTTAACCGAGGCTTTAAATTGTGATTAAACTCCTCAGGAGATGAGTGGCTGATTAAACACAAAGTTGCCATCACATCTAATCAGAACTGATGTGCAAAATGTAATTAATCTGTCAGTAATTATACATTTAAATAATCTCAGAAAAAAAAGCGCTCCCAGCGATCCTAATTGCAGTCACGTGCTGCAGTAGTCATATCATTTCTGTCTCTGCTCTCCATATGATATGTGCCCGCCCCGACTGTGAGGCCTGAGGTAGATGTCCTTCAGATTAGAACTTATTACAGCCGGACGTGTTGTTGTGTAAGTTCGGGCTTTGATGCAGGGAGAGACAAGTGCTTATCGTGACGAGGGAGAGACAAGGCAGGGGAGACGGTGATGGATCTTCAGCATAAAGGATGAGACAGACTTGGGGAAAGGAAGAGCTGGGGGACTCACCTCTCAGGGATGAAAAGTGAGGTTTGTCTCTTTTGTGTGAAACGCACAGCTATCAGCGTTTTCTTTCAGCCGCCATCTCAACGGGAAGTCGGTGACATGGTATAGAATCTCAACACGAGGTGTGCGGTACAGAAACAGAGCAATCCTACAGATTAAACCTGCTCAGTTTTGCATGGGAGTATGCATGATGCAGTGGCTGCCAAAGTGAAGGGAGGGGCCCATTGGGGGGGCATGGAACTATTGAAGCGGGGACATAGCAAGTTAATTTAATTAAAATTTTTAAATTGAAATGTTTTGTGTGTGCCACATTGGAAAAACTGTGCTGATTCCTAGCCTTATTTTTTCATTCAGTATATTTTTTCAAAGAATTAGTCATTAAATATCACATTGAATAATATAAAGTTATGTTAAAATGTTAAAGGAAAATAATTTTTAAAGAAATGGTAAATGTGTGGTTTTTTGGTGGCCTTGACAGTAGTTCCATCTATAACAAAAAGGGGGCGCTCTGGAGAAAAGCTTGGGAACCACTGCCTTATGGATGGTGAACATTTTTAACCCTCAATTTGCTGCTGTTTCATTATCCATATAATACCAACAATGGTCACTATCAGCAGTGACTTTTATCTTGCTTCGTGAACGTGTGCTAATGTTGCTATTGCTAACGATACCTAGCTGCAGACACCAAGACTGCAGCAATTACATATGAATGCATTTTTTATATATTCAGTGGTAGTAGATGCAGATTAAAAGCAAAAGGCAATCATTTGTGTAGAGTTTGAAATATTTTTCGTCCTCTTTTAGATACAGCATGACAAAAAAAACAAGTGACCTTAAGAAAAAAAGTAAAAAAAAAAACTGGCTTCACTGGTGGAAATTAAATATGTGGGGACAATGCACTGCAATTTGAAAGAACTGTAGAGAAAATGACTTGGCTTACAATTTCAAAAGACATCAGAAGCATTTATGGAACCAACGGGGGACAGATAATTTGAAAAGACAGACTACTACAGGAAACGCGTGTCCCTGTAGTGAAACTATACCATTAGATGTATTTTTTTTCCTCCCGCTGTAGCGAAAGACATGCCGTCACTTCATTTTCAGTGAAGGTTATGACAGACAAATGAAATACCGGAGGGGAAGAAAGGATTTCTGTCCTGTACAACACAGCTTTCACTTTCTGTGTTTTGCTTCCTCAAACAATGAAACACATCACAGCACAGGA